TTGTTATTTCCCTAGTAGGTTGATAAATATTTTCATTCATATTCAAATTTATTTCTTACATTAAAGATTTAATGTTATTCAAGCTCGCATTTCCTGCTATATTTTGAACGTACCCCTGATGTACCGTGGACATGAATTCATGTCCACGTTTTGTGACCGTTGAGTACCGCGGACATGAATTCATGTCTGCATTACGTGCTGCTATTTTCGTCATTAATTGATATAAAAATACGGTATATTTTAAATTGAACATTATTTCATTCGATTCTGAACGAACTAAAGAGTATTCTGAAGAATTATATTCACTCTGTTACATAGACAAAATCAAATATAGCAGCCATTCGCTTTTGTGCTGTTGGTGCGGTTAGTTGCATAATCGTTGAAGTTTTTTGATTCGCGCGCAAACTGTCTGTTGTCAAATTTTTAGCAAATATTTGCAAGTGAAAAAGTAGAATTATTATAATTATTACATGCATAATTTCGGTTCATGTAGGAATAATATGTTGTATTGATTGTAAGGACATAAAAATAAAATAAAAACTTATGATATTTCATTCATGAAATAAAATTTATGCTCGAATTATATTCAAAAACCTGTTTAGTGTCATGTATTTACGTATATTAAAGATATTATTTTTTAAATAAATAATGAATTTTCTAATAGTCTGATATTCTGTTGTATTGAATTAATCACCAACGCAATAAATGTTTTTTTAAGAATGCATATCTATTGGTTGCCGCTCTTTCATTCTACTGTGCGTAGCAGAAGCCGCATTTTTCAACTCTTTGTACTTGTTGGGACAGTTAAAATCAGACTTAAAATTGAGAGACACAGAACCAGCCAGAAAAAAACTATAGGTACCTTCTCCCTTATGTCGACTTTTAACCTAGTAGTCACCGTACACAAAAAAATCGTAAATACCAAATTATTGAAATTTGGCGCAGTTTTGTACTGCCATTCATGGGTTGATTCATTTTCTTCGGTTTGATGTCTTCCGGTACATGGTCTTGTTATAAATCATCATGGGCTTCTGGTTCGACACCGTAATTGTCATTTTCCAGGATATCGTCTACATTATCGACCTAAATTCCATAGAGTTCGTCGTACGATAACCGCATTATGTACAGCCTCCTCATTAGCGAAGTAGGCAGATTCCCAGGTAGCCAAGGTATCAAAAATTTCATCCCGAATGGAAGCTGACCGAGACGTAGATGGCTGAGGTTCCAAAATTTCATCTTGAATTTCAGCTGACTGAAACGTAGACGGCTGAGAATCCATTTTTATCCTGAAATATTTTTTATTAAACATAAAAACTTAAAGCACAAAATTGATTTTGCGGGCAGCGTTTTAGGCTTTTTTCGCACTTTACCCATTGAGGATTATTCTAGGTAAATCTTGGTTTACTAAAACTTATAGTATCAGATTTTTTTCAAACATTGGTTTCTAGAAATACGTAGATTTTGCTTTAGAAATCACGTTTCTTAAACAAAGTGTTCTTTTGAAAACATGTCTAGAGCAACTTATACTTATCTAAATCTCAAGCGTAATGAGTTTAAACGAGCTCAAAATGCAACTTGCAGTTTAAGCAGTGTCATTTGTCCGGCTGTGAGACACCTGTTTATTACGAAATCTCATCAAGTAAAAATAGACCTCATTGTCTAAGCTGACAGAATGGAAATGTATTTAGAACATCTCAAACTTTCTGCACATATATATATATATATATATATATATATATATATATATATATATATATATATATATATATATATAATACATAAGTTACAGAAAATGATGGCTAACTAGTTGAAAGCTGATAAGTAAGTAAAGTTATGATAAGGAAGTACGAAAAACATTGCATCTTCGTCACGAGACGAGCCCCACCTCGAATATCACGTCACATTCTGGCGATTTGATTGGCCGAACGACTGCATCGACGTAGTGTAGGATAGCAGCACTTATGCGCTCATCATGAATGTAGAAAAAAGCGAAACACTTATTTGCAGGAATATTACAGGCAGTCAGCATTTCATTTCAGTCACCCTGGCATTAAAACAACTAAAAACTTAATCAAACAAAAGTTCTTTCGGCCACATATGGATCGTGATATAGCAATGTGGCCACGGGCATGTCTTAATTGTCGAAAGGTTAAAATTACGAGACATACTGTATCAGGTGTAGGGCAGTTTGATCGACCTGATCGTTTTCAGTATTTGCACATAGATATAGTAGGGCTACCACCTATTTCAGCTGATGGTCATAAATACTGTGTAACAATTATAGACCGGTGTACCGGATGAACCGAAGCTTTTGTGGTCAAAACATTACAGCAGATACTGTAGCAAGAATAGTGTTTGAAGGTTGAATCTCTCGTCCAGGGTACACAGTTTGAGAGCGACCTCTTTCACCAATTAATGAAATACTATGGGATTCACAAATTGCGCACCACACCTTATCGTCCACAGAGTAACAGCATGGTTGAGCGTTAGCGTAGAGCACTAAAAGTGGCTTTAATGGCAACTTTAAAATGCAACAGTTCATGGGTAGTTGAATTACTAGCAGCGCTGATACTAGAATTGACAGTGGTATGAGCGCAGGTGAATTAACTTACGGTAAATCAATCAGATTACGGGGTGATTTCATCGAAGCTACAAAATTTTGCGATACGGATTCGGAATATTTGCAAAAGTTACGGAATAATATACTTAATTTGAAACCAAGACCACCGTATTACCGTAATTCGCGTTCGTTATTTATTCCTAGTAGTTTAGATAACTGTAAATATGTATTTGTTCGGAATGATTTGATGCAAAATATCTTCAACCCTCTTATGATGGACCCTATAGCGTCATAAGCAGGAGAGGGAAAACTTTTGTCATAAAAATAGAAGAAAACGAAAGTACTACTTCTATGGATCGGTTAAAACCCGCGCACATTCCGAATGAAAACGATTTAAACAATAACATTAATTGTAGTGATGATAGGTTAACGATAGTTTTGTTAGCACAAATAATGCAGACACTTCTAGCAAAGTTTTAATTCCAAATACAAATACACGCGAAGTGGCCGCGTTATCAAGACGCCGGTACTTTTTGCTTTGTAATCTATTCTAAGTAGAACGGCTCATCGTTACTTAAGATTACCGGATATGATTAGATTGTCTTAGGTTCGATTTCTGACCTAAATAATTAATAAGTGTAATAACCGATCCGTTTAGTTTACATAAATCTAGTAATTTCAAAAATTTCATTGTTATATATTTCAAACTATATTGTTGAACTCTAAAGAGTAAACTATAAGACTATATGATACGATGATAATTTCTTAGATTTTATGAGATCAACCTCTGTACGGGCTGCAGCAAGTACATTTTTGTGGCGTCAGAAGTTTATGCTATAACGCTAAATAAATAAATAAATAATAAATATAAAAGATAAGAGGGCATTCACACTGCGAGGGTGTCATGTATCAATTGAATCACGAACGGTCGGAACTACGGCGCTACAATATCATGTTGCAAGATATGGGCGACCTACTCACACGTAAGCGCAGGGGACTCATCAATGGTGTAGATAATATCGCAAACTCGTTGTTTGGGGTGCTTGACAGCAACTTTGCTGAAAAGTATGAAAAAGATATCGACTTAATCAAAAAAAACCAAGGACACCTAGCCAAGCTGTGGAAGAATCAAACTACAGTCGTAGAAGCGGAGTTCAATGTCATCAAGAGGGTAGAGTCGATCATGGAACAGCATCATAAAACAGTCAATAACGTCTCAAATAACTCATATATCAATGAATTTACCTTGGCCGCTATAGTTACAAACAACATTTTGAAAAAGTTAAAAGAAATACAAACTTATCTTATTGAAACTATCACAGACGTATTTCACGGGAAGTAAGATATTCATCTCCTAACCCCCAAGCAACTCCAAAACGAATTAAGTGCCATCTCCACTCAGATACCTAAAGACCTCTATCACTATCTATATCACTACCTACCGAATACGTGAATTATTCAAATCTATCAAATTACTTAACGTAAAAGCACGCTTATCGAAGTCCTTTCTTATTTTCGAAATCCGAATTCCATTATTAGCACGAGACGCTTACGAAGTCCTTAAAGCAATTCCCATACCTAAACAATAGGGTAGCAACATGATCAGCATTGCCCCTATTAGCGAATATCTCGCTTTAAACTTAAAAAAAGGATTCGTTTATATCGCTATCATTTACTAATTTACATGACTGCATTGATCGCGATTTAAATACTGTGTTGTGTCGATTCAAGAAGCCTATTTATCATATGATCAATGATAAGAGTTTGTGTGAGAAGGATGAAGGACTTGGAAGCTGTAGAACGATCATTAACACCTGCAAAAATATTTTCATTGCAACAAGTAAACTCAATAACTACTTTTATATCTGTTGTAATAAATGCTACTTCAAGTTGTTATGCGAAGACCAAGTTACGGCTATTCAATTGAGTGAAGCCGGACTTATTACGCTGGTACAGGACTGCCTTATCAAATCAGCTGATTTACATTTTTATACATACAAACCAGATGCATCTCAAATCAATTTAAAGCCTGACATTGGTATACCAAAGATCACTTCGATTAATCATTTAACACGTTTACTGCGTAACAGGCCGATATCGGCCTGCCGCGGTACTTGAACTGGTGCGGACGAAGAAAACTATGTCCCTCTCGCTTGTGCGAAACGATTATCTCAGGTGTTTGTAAAAATTCGACAGAGACAAATATATATTTCATCTTGCGGTAAATGCCGTAGTTGTTCCCCATCAAAACATAACGGCAGGCTTTTATTGACCTACCACGCACTGACGGTGAAAAAACATCCGCGAGTGCGGCAGTGGGCCTATTTCGGCCCGCCCTCCCACCAGGCAGCTGGCGACCCGATACCGCACAGAGCGCGCGCCCCGCCAGTTAGTGTTGTGCTATCTAACAGCTCTGTCGTAGCGTCCGATATTATCAACAATGGCAAGCAATAAAAGAAAAATACAAATTTTGGAAAATAGAGTAATTCGCCCTGCAGTTATTGACAGTGATAGTGACAGCAGTGAAGAAATATTTTCCACTAAGAAAACTAAAAAAGGATTTGGAAACAAATGTGCACGGAAAACAAAGCACAAGCGGTAAGTTTTATTTACTACCTACACATATCAACATATCAGCCTTAGACGCATAATGACGTGGGGATTTTTTATGTAATACCATCCTTTATGAAAAAGATTATTCTTAACACTTTCATTGCATTTTAATGATTTATTTTCAACAGTTGATGTCGAGAAAATTTAGTTTTTTGAATTTTTGAATTGAACCATAATCCGTCCGCTTTTACCCCAACACTCCTTTTTCTCGCTAAATAAGACACAATAAGAGTCACAGTAAACTTTTTTTGTCAACAGCGGACGTTTTCAGTAGCCCCAGTGGAAGAAAATTTCATATTCTTAAACCAGTCTCGTTTTCACATGTAACTAAAACAGGTATGTCTTAATTTAAATAATTTATTTGCTTTTAGTGTTATAGTTTCTGCTGAGCATCTATTGACAGATATCTCTCTCTCTCTCTATCTCTCAAAATTTCATATTTTATTTAATTTTTTACTTATATTACTGTAAAGTTTCATCTAAATCCGTTCAGTAGTTTTTGCGTGAAAGAGTAGCAAACATCCATACATCTAAACTTTCACATTTATAATATTAGTGTAGATTAATTTTATTCCACTTACCTTTTTTTGCATTACAGAATGTAAAAATAAACCTACACCACAGACATCAAAAGGATTGTCTTCGCCTAGCTCATCGTCATTGGAACGATTTAGTATGTATAGCTCAAGAGGATGCAGTCCTTCGCTAAACAATATATCAGCTTCTAAGCTTATGCACGGCATCAAAATAGATGAAAGCGAATATCATGACTTGATAAATCTAAGAAACGATAATAAAAAGATAAAAAAGAAAAATGAAATAGAAAGGAAAGATCCAAAGACAAAACTTACATTCACTTATTCTTTTGAAGACAGTATGTCGCAAGGGTTAACTGAAAGTAATGAAAATTGTGTTTTTTATGACGAAGAACGTAATAAACAGTTTGAAGAAAATGAAAGACAGAAAGAAACACTTAATGACGAAGCAGAGAGAGAGAAAGAAACAGAAAATGTTGATGTAGAAGATGTAGAAGAGAGAGAGGAAGAAACAGGAAATGCTGAAGAGGAAGATGAAGAGCAGGAAAGTGGTGACACAGGCGATGATGAGAGTGATGAATATTCTGCAAGTGAAGTTGTATCGGATATAGATAATGATGTTTCAGAGGAAGAGGAAGATGCACAGGATAATAGTGTCAATGAATGGGATGCTGTCACAGATTTGACACCTGAGTTGGATGCGTGTACTTTAAATGAAAGCACTTTTAATATTCCTATAGAAGATATATCTCCTGCAGGTATTTTTTCCTTATTTGTAACTGATGAAATAATAGATAAAATGGTTACAGAAACTAATAAATATGCGTTAAACACATCGCAGAAAAGCAAAATAATAACGAAATAAAAACAAAATCTCGGTTATTATCATGGAAAGCTACGAATAATATAGAAATGCGGAAGTTTCTAGGGGTACTACTCGCAATGGGTCTGAACAAAGTGTCTCATATAAATGACTATTGGTCAAAAAAATCAATATATCGAAACGAATATATTGTATCTGTAATGACTCGGGATAGATTTCTGCTATTACTGAAATTCTGGCATTTTTGTGATGATTCGTCAGCCATCCACAATACAAATAAGTTGAAGAAAATTCATGATTTGGCTAATATGCTCAACAGCAGATTCCAAGAAGTATTAACGCCAGGTAAATTCATTGTTATAGATGAATCAATGATACCATGGCGTGGCAGGCTGAAATTCAAACAATACATTAAAAACAAATCACACAAGTATGGTGTTAAAATTTACAAGTTATGCACTCCAGAAGGGTATATATATAATTCAATAATTTATTCTGGAAAGGGAGAAAATGGCCGTGAACAAAATCATGGTAAAGTCACCGTACTGAAACTCATTCAAGGGCTGGAGAACAAATGTCGTGTAGTAATTGCAGACAATTTCTACTCTTCAATTGAATTGGCGGAAGAACTCTTATCTCAAAAAACCCGTTATTGCGGTACCCTAAATTCGAAGCGAAGGGGGCTACCTAAGGAGATAGTGTTACTAAAGTTGAAGAAGGGTGAAATCAAAGGAGCTATGAATAAAAATGGCGTTAAAGTTATTAAATGGGTTGACAAAAGGCAACTTCTAATGATATCTACTCTCAAAGAGGACAAAGAGGTGCTTGTCAACACTGGCAAAAAAAAAATAGGAAGACGAATGAAGATATAAAAAAGCCTACATGTGTCTTAACGTATAATAACAACAAAAAAGGAGTTGACTTCAGCGACCAAATGTCTTCATACTATTCTACATTAAAAAGAGGGCTCAAATGGTTCAGAAAAGTGGGTATGGAATATTTGTTAGGCATGGCGTTAGTAAACGCGTGGATCACATACAACGTGAAATGTGATAAGAAGGTTTCAAAAAAAGAATTTACAGAGGCATTAATGCAATCATTAACTGGAAAAAGTATATGCGCTGATAGTAAGTATAATGACGTGTAACATCACTGTAGGCATATGTAGATTATTGTTGAAGGCGATTCCTACATTTCCGTGTTTCAACATCGTCAGACGTTCTACATCTGCAACAGGTAACTATTGTCATTATTTTGAACATATTACCAGTGTTACGGTGGCTGCGCATGGTCTTCGTGCATGAGCTTTGTGCTGACTCTGCTATTTTCTGCGAGCAATGTTTGGCGTTGTTTGCACTACTGTTCTATTATGGTATGTTATGGCACTGTTTACTTACTCAATAACACATAATGCGAGTTCTTATTTCGGGGCACTCAGCTGCATTTATCATAAAAATAACGCTTTAAGTGGTCTACTTGATTGCACAAAATAGACATTAGGTCCTGTTACCACTATATTATACACCATATACATAATTTTATACCTATATATACAGGCTGTTAGGGTTATCACCGCTGTCCTTCAAGGAGGTAACTCAGTCTCGTTTATACAACAAATTTCCCTATCATGTCGTAAACTCGAAAAAAAATTTTTGGCTTCCCATACTAATCGATCCGATCAACTGATTAAAAATTGTATTTGAGGAATAAACTATCTGATTTTTTTTGTATGAAAAGTGAGAATATTTTTTTAAGATTTCAACATGGGTCCCATAAGGAAAGTTGTTGTATAAGCGATACTGAGTTATCTCCTTGAAGGGCAACCCTACACCTATACAACATGTAATTCCAAATGCGCAAAACCTCCCGTGGGGTAACTCAGCCCATGTTACAGAACAATTTTTGTTCTGAGATTCGCAAAAAAATATTTTCACTTAATTTAAAATGACCTTATACACCGTGTAACGGAAGGGGGGGTATCAACCCTGAAGGAGGTGAATGTGCTCATGAAGCTGAACAACTTTCCCCAAAGAATATAGGTCGAAGTATGAAAAAAAATGTTGGAGCTCCCGTAGTAGTAAATCAATCAGCTGGTTGTCAATTTTGTAAGGGAAGGCCAATTTTTTTTTTCATATTTCGACCTATGTTCTCTGGGGAAAGTTGTTCAATTTCGCGAGTTCTGTGGTAAAACTCAATGTTTAATAAATCACACGGAATTAAGCAAAAAAAATTCATTTCAGAAAATCAAGTAAAACCTAAGGACAATGACCATGTTCTTGAAATGAGCGCTAAACGAAGAAATTGTGCAGGGTGCTACGACAGACTGCGGAAAATCTTTAATAGTACCGAAGCAAAAAAAAAAGTAAAGAAAATAAAGAAATATTGCAGGAAATGCAACCAAAACCTTTGCGTAACATGTTTCCAAGATAGGCATAAGTAAATAAAAACATTTTACAGTTCTTTTACGATAATTCTGTTTTATTTTCGATATCCCCTTATTTTTCTCTGTCCCGTCACTACTAAAAATACTTTCTAGTGCGGTTCAGGTCGATATCGGCCTGCCGCTTTTCCTGCTTTATTTCTCATTTCTTGTTTGGCAGATCCCGGGGCGAATCAAACCTATGAACGTTGGGTTCAAGCTCATTCTAACAATATAAAAAAAAATGTATACATTATGTTTCCACAAAGTTATAGCAATTTAATCTATCCTAGTGCTGGTGGGTCTAGATCGACCACTCACGCACTGGCGGAAACATCATTGGGGGCGCATTTTGGCCCGCCGCCGCACTAGATGAAGTATTATGATTTTACTTGCCGCAGTAAACGTGTTATTAAATATCTCGATACCGGAAATGAACGCCAGTACGAGCTTGGAGACTATCAGCCAACAACACCTTCTTGCCATACGAGAAAAATTGGATGTCATGAAACAGACTGAGCCGTTAGCAGCAGGTGTATCCTATCACGACATTCACCATTACACCGTCCTCTACCTGGTGATTATAACGGCTGGAGTGTTCGGAGGATTCTACATGAGGCGGCGCGTGCGGCGCGCGCGCGGAGGCGTGCAGGTCGCGATCGCGTACAAAATAAGTGTAGTGAAGTGCAGTGTAATAGTGGAGTGCAATTTGTAGATGTAGAGTTGCAAACAAGTGCAGTGCAGTGTAACAGTGGTGACACTACTAGCGAATTAAATGAAAAATTTAAGAACTCGCGTAAACAAAAACAAAACCGTGGTACATCACCAGTGCTTCAATCGGTGTTTACTATCACGGACACGGGTGTCTAAATACACTGTTATTATTTATTTTGCATCAATCATTTGTAACTATTTTTAAGCCAAAATGTTTATCACCTTGTAATTAGTTTTAAATTCATCTCATCTTCATGACTCTCTATCTTTCAGCCCGGGAGCATGTACGGGCTGCAGCACGTATTTTTGTGGCGTCGGCAGTTTATGCTATAACGCTACAATAATGCATTTTGAGTCAGTACGCTAATTGAGCCCAGCAATACCGGTCACGCGTGCTCGCAGTATCATTTCCCATCTATCATTAAATTAGATTTAGTTGTTTCTATCAATAAACTATCAATTATCTACTTATCTTCGAACAGATGATTTCTAGGTATTCCAAGTACTTCGAGGACGCGGCGGTGCCTTCCCAATATGGGTAGAGATCATAATAGACAACGAGTTTCCAATCGTCAGCTATCAAATGCATGTTTACAATCTTGTCGAAAAATAGGCTAGTATTATTTTGCAGTTTATTTATAGTATATAGTCCGCTAGTATTAGTTATAACGTCATAAAAAATAATAAGACAGGAGTTGCAACTGTAATGAAACTGTATCCTTTATTCCTTTGTTTTATCTTACGCTTTATTGGTTTCTCTTGTTTTAATTCTTGATCTTGTGTTTCTTCGGAGATGATAGGGAGTATTGATAGTTTGATAACAGGTCTTTTCATATAACCGTTTTTTGTTTTTAACGTCACAACATGCACGTAGCCGTCGTTACCAGGGTGCAATTCGACCACCCTACCGAGGGCCCATTTGCCTGGAGGAAGGTTACTATCATTGATGAGTACGATGTCATTTAATTTTATATTTTCTTGAGGTTGGCGCCACTTGCTCCGGGCTGATAGATTTGTTAAATATTCTTGTTGCCACCTTTTCCAAATGTCTTGGAATATTTTTTGTGTTAAATGCCACCTAGTCCTAAGATCTCGTTCCGTCTCATAAATTGATAGAATCGGACCGCTTGATAGAAAATGTGAAGGGGTTAAATAATTTAAATCATCAGCGTCCTCCGTCAATGGACATAGTGGTCTCGAATTTAAGCAAGCTTGTAATTGTGCTAGCAGCGTGCTGTACTCCTCGTAGGTGAGTTTTTGATCACCAACCACCCTCCTTAGATGATACTTGAAGTTTTTCACAGCTCCTTCACAAAGACCATTGGCTGACGGCCACGAAGGTGCATTCAAGTGCCAATTTATACCCATGTCGGACACTTCTGTGAGGAACTCATCACCAAATGTTTTGAGGAGCTCTTCGTATTCCTTCTGTAAGACTTTGTTGGCTCCTATGAAGTTCGTGCCATTATCGCTATAAATGTGGTTAGGTTTGCCATGGCGAGCTGTCATTTTCCGTAACGCTGCTAAGAATGCAGTACTCGTCAGATCAGACACCAACTCCAAATGTACAGCCTTTGTGGCCATACACGTGAACACAGCGATATAACCTTTCGTAGTTTTGATCCCACGGCCTGTATTAGCTTTGATGAACACGTGGCCCGTGTAGTCGTGGCGTGAAGGGTTTGCTCTAGCTGCTGGAAGGTCACCCATAATTTGATAGTGTTTGGTTGGTTCGTGCCTTCTACATTTGATACAATGACATAATCTCTTCTTCGTAGCTCTGTTGCCACCGACGATCCAGTACTTTTGTCTCAGGTTGGCTGATGTTAGCCGAGCACCACCATGGTATGTCATTTCATGCGCCTGATCTATAAGAAGCTCAGCAAGGCGACTGTTGCCAGGTATAATGATAGGATTTTTCTGTTCTAGTCTGGGTCCAGATTGGCATTTCGCAACCTCCCACTCTCTCATTACTTCATCTTGATCAATATACAGATTTAGTTCACAAATGTTGCTTTATCGATTTATTTTATTTCCTTGCTTTCATTCTGATAACTCTCTTGCAAATCCCGTTTATTGTATTTTTTTTATAATTAATAACTTAGCTTCTCTCAACTCTCGTACTGTTAAATATTTTATATTTTGTCCTTTTTTGATAGTTAAAAATCTCCGAATCCATGCAACTATTCTTACCGTTTTGTTAATTGTGCTATATTTTGATAGGATGTTGTGCTACTAAAATTGTTTTTGATAATTTTAATTCTTCGTTTATTATATAAGCGATATTATGCCCTTGGTAGTTATATGTTGATAGCCAAGTCGGGCCCAGCCACCACAAGGTCTGGGCTTTGAGTTGTAATGCAGTTAGACCACGACTGGCACAGTCGGCTGGGTTTTGGTCCGACTTAATGTACCTCCAGCAGTCAGGTGGCATATTTTCGGTTATTGTACGAACTCTATTTGCCACAAACGTTTTCCATCAGGTTGGTTCTCCGTTGAGCCACCCCAGTACTACCGTGGAGTCAGTCCAACCATATATTTTGATATTGTACCCACTAAGGCACTCTGCAACTTTACCCCTTAGCTTTGAGAGGAGTAGAGCTCCGCTCAGTTCCAACCGCGGTAACGAGACTGTCTTGCTGGTTGGTACAAGCCTGGCTCTGCCGGCCACCAACACTATAGATAATTTATTGCCTTTGTTGATACGACAATAGATCACACATGCATAAGCTCTGACAGACGAGTCACTGAACCCATGTAGCTCGATACTGTCGCACTCATGGATCTGCAGCCATCGGGGTAACTGAAGGTCTTGAATATTGTGCATATCCTCTCCGACCTTCTTCCACTCTACATATACTTATTATATAGTAATAAGTATATGTAGAGTACTATATATTATATACTTCATTCGGTATATGATCATCCCAGTTAATATTATCTGCAGTCCACACTTGTTGAAAAATAATTTTTAATTTAGTTGATAGTGGTGATAACCAACCGAGCGGGTCAAAAAGTTTTGATATGTCTGATAAAAGGTTTCTCTTTGTAACTTTGTTGAAGACTTCCGTCGGTTCTAAATTTGATTGAAACATAAAAACATCCTCTTGTGTATTCCATCTTAACCCAAGGGTTTTTGTTTGCGCCGGAATCACGTGGCCGAGGGCGCGGTAATCGTTTATAAAGGATTGATGTTGATTTTTAATGTTTTCGTGCTTTTTGAATGTGTTTTCTAACGATCTAAATTGAGCGATAGCTTTTGATTTTGATTCTCCCAGCTTATCCGAAAAGTCTGGGGTGAGGGGCATACGTACTTCGTATCGACAGTCTTCGCGCCTGATAGTAGTAGACTTGTAATAGTCGATGCATAGTTGATCATCTAATGATAGCGTAGATTCTTCATTGATATCCTCCATCTCCCAGAATTTTTGGATCTCCTTTAAGTCGTTAATGATCACGTTACATTGTAAAGTTTTGACGTTACCGGTTAAAATCCAGCCTAAACGAGTATTCTGAGCTATCGGTATATTATTGTTGCGCGGCTAAGTTGACATCTAGGCACTAGCGCCATCTAGTGTCGGGTAACAGAGCGAAGAGAGCTTTCCAGAAAATGACATCACTAATCTTTCAACCGACAGCGCCATCTGTTGTCGAAACGAAGAACTAAGCTTCTGGAAGCTGACTCTCGAACTTTCGGCGCTTTGTCGATTGGTGCTCGTATTTACTTGAATGTTCTGGATGATTCGGTACTACTGTCTATTTATAGGCGCTGCAATACGCGATCGGGGAAGTATTGAATTTGGCGAGACAAGCGAAGCTTCGGAGCGGAATAAAGTGAATTAGTGTGCTTAATTATTGGTGTTTTAAGTTTTAATTTGTGTAAAGAAAATTAAAGTGTTAATTTAGGTAATCCTATCGGCAATTTTTATTGTCACGAACCTCAAGCTCGTAACATTATCATTCAACCTACAAATTCCCTCCAATAAAATCAAAGAATAAACATCTGCTCCTAACAGAAGGTCGACCGGGCGACTAATATTAAATTCGGGATCTGCTAACGTGATGTTATTTAAATATGTCCAGGACGGTTTTGAAAAGCTGAAGTTAGGTAAATTTTTGATAAGGCTTTTCATTATGTATACCTCCGGTTCAAATTCAAAATCGTTATTTATAGCTTTGCATTTGATAGTCATGACGCCCTTACAATTTCTCTCCATAGTGCCTACTCCAGATATCACTCCCCTACATTGAAGTCGAGGTTGGCCGAGCAACTGAGCCGCATGTTCACTGATGAGAGAAGCTTGGGACCAGAGATACCACGAATAGTGAATTGGCCGAATACCGAATACCGAAAATCGGCAACGCTGTCGGCCGAAGCGCCGAATATTCGGCGCGAAGTACATGCTTGGTGGGGGCGCGTTAGCTGGAATAAGACAAAGACAAGTCACAACCTGTTTTTCTCGTTGCGTTCGCGCGGCAGGCGACGACGGCGCGCGTGCGACGCGGGGTGCAAGCAAACATTGTTTGTATTTGTTTCAATTGCGAGTAAATCGCGTCACGGAGCGCTTTGTCAGTATATAAATAATACGTAAAGTGTAACTTAATTACTATTTTGCTAAGAAGTTTGTTTCGTAGTTCATTTTCAATTGTTTTTTCGTCAAAAGGCTTATAAAATGTCACCGGTTAATAAAAAATCGCCAATCAAAATATGGGAATATTATGAGATTTGTAGTGAAAATAATAAACTGGCCCAGTGTTTGTTATGTAGCATCAAGTTCTCAAGAGGCGGAGAAGGAAAGAAAGCAAGTAAGTAAAACGTTTGGTTAATTTAATAGTTTCGAAATATTTTTATTCACTTACTACGTTTACGTAGGTACTTAGGTAGGTGATTGTTTCTTGTTTGTTAACTGGTTATGCCTAAAACGACGTACCTACTTACCTAGTTGTTCTACTGTACCTATTTGTAGACACCTACTTACAAAAGAAAGGAGATCGATTTGCCCTAGTTGTTTCGGAATAAAGTTTTATAAGAAATTATTTATATACCTATATTTATTTGATTTTCTAAAAGATAGATAAGAAAAATAAAATAACTTATTTAATTATAATTAATTTCAGTTTTTTATTATTTACAGCTACAACCTCTTTAAAAAACCATCTTAAAACCAAACATGCTGACCAATACGCTGCTTTAATTAATGTTCCAACGACAAGTGGCAGCAACATGGGCGGTACTTCTATTTCTACCGATGCCAAGATGCCAGCAGAACCTGGAACGTCCAGATCAAAAGAACGGCAGCTCACCCTGAAGGAAACATCAGAAAGGAAATTGCTCTGGGACATTAATGATCCGAAATCAATAAAATATCATTACTTGATTGGCGAAATGATTGCTTTGGACAACGAACCATTGTCACCTGTGGAACGAGTTGGATTTCAGAGACTTATGGCAAACACTTTGCCCCATTATAAAGTACCTGGTCGCACTTATGACCGAGAAAATTGTTCCTGATACAACAAAATTTTGTACAACAGAAATTTAGAAGCCAGTATTTCACAGGCAGCAGCATTATCAGTGACATCTGATATATGGACATGCCAGCACATAACAAGAGCTTTCTGAGCTTCACTGCACACTGGATATCTCCAAAGTTCATTCTGGAACATGGCGTTTTAGCTATGAAATCATTTCCTGGCTCACATTCTGGTATCAATATTGCAAAAGAACTCAATGCTATTACAGAAAGATGGAATATTCCTCAATCCAAGCTCCATTTACTTGTCCATGATAGTGGCTCTAATATGATAAAAGGTGTGCGAGATGCAGGATATGATTCAGGCAGGTGCTTTATTCATTCACTACAACGAGCTATAGATCATTCGCTACAATCTCAACCAGAAGTACAACAGATGATAGCTGCTGCGAGACGAAATGTTACCCATTTTAATCATTCTGGCTTAGCAGAGCAGAAACTTAAATCTATTCAACAAGAACTTAACTTGCCAAACCCCCAACTAGTACAAGATGTGAGCACACGCTGGAATTCTACGTATTATTTAATGGAGCGATTATTAGAACAAAAGCGAGCTGTCTCCTTGTACATAACAGATCATGAAACTTTAATAAATCTGACACATGTTCAATAGGAACTATTGGAACAATGTATCAAACTCCTCAAACCATTCGAAGAAATAACAAAAATAACTAGCTTGGGTATCTCTTGCATCTCTGAAGTGATTCCACATGTAGTACCTTTATTAAAATATCTGAGAAAAGCAGAGACAGCTGCAAAAGTACCTAATTTAGTCACGATGAGATCTTCACTGCAGGCCGAGCTAGAAAGGCGATTCAGCTTCGATGATAAAAATAAAATATCTGGTTGCTACTTTTCTGGATCCTCGCTTTAAAACGAGTTTTCTAGGATTGGTTCAAGCAGAAAGAGCAAAACAAAAAATTATTCTAGAAGCTCTAAAAAAAGTTGCGATGAACCAAGTAGTACCGATGACGATTCTTCTCCAGCGCATAAGAAAAGAAACTTGAATGAAAATGATAGGACTGTTGAGTTGAAATACACGACAGTTTCTGGAACTGCTTTGAAGAAGTCGCTACAGATAATATGGAAAATATTGCTAATGATGAAGAGAACTTGGAGAAGAATGCTGTGGCAAACGAGTTGGATTTTTATTTGAAAACAGTCCGCCTAGATCGGAAAGCCGATCCTTACAAGTGGTGGTCAGCAAACGAAAAACAATACCCGAACCTTTCGAAATTTGCAAAAGTTTATCTTTCTTCGCCTGGAAGTAGCGTTTATAGTGAGAGGTTATTTTCTGAGGCTGGTAACGTTTACGATGAAAAGCGCAATCGTTTTCTACCAAAAAATGCTGAAAAGCTCGTTTCTATCCATCACAACTTACCATTGATTAATTTTAACTATTAAAATGTTGTAATTTGGAAATAAATACATAATTTTTAGTAAAACAACGTGTCTTTTTTACATGATTTGCTATTTGGTATTCGGTCGAATAGCACGTACTATCGGCCGAATACCGAATAGCAAAAAAGTGGCCGAATAGGCCGAATACCGAATAGTTGCCGAATATTCGTGGCATCACTACTTGGGACCCCTGATCTATTAGAGCACGCATGTTGACGAAACTCCCATCATATTTTTGTACCTTAAGTATAGCTGTAGCTAAAAGAATTTCAGGCACATCACATTTCATCGACACGTGTAAGTTGCTTCGTACTTGACCCGAAGTTTCAGGTTTCTGGTTGCTTACGCGGGTTGCTGCCTTCAGCGAATTATTATTATTATGTTGAAATGATTTATGCAAAATAGAATTATGCGCTTTATTGCACTCTGTTCATCTTTTGGCGGAAATACATGGCTTACCATTATGTGAATAAAGGCAATTTTCGAATACATTCAGTCTTGATACAGTTTTAAGCTTTAGGTAAGGTGTCATGTTTAAAAACTGTCGACAGTAATAAAGACAATGTTCATTGGTTTTGCAAAGTGCAGACTTATAAAATTTCCAAGAAGTATGGTTATTAGCGTTTGATTGTTGTAAGGTGAATTTACCGTGCATCGGAAAGGCTTGTTTATTCAAGTTTCTTTGATGCCTATTATTGAAATTAATGTTGCGGCGAATAATTGTTGTTGCTATGTACATTTTCTGCAGAGGTCTCAGACTTCTTTCGAGAAGATTCTAAGCTTGTAAACTTGCCTTCTAAAAATGACAGAAATTCATACAAATTAGGTAACTCGCGGGGCTCCTTGACTGACGCCATGTATTCATTATGCGTGTCAGCATCGAGTTTTTGCGAAAGGAGATGCACAATCAATGAATCCCATGAATCAACGTTAACGCCTAAATTTTTGATAGCGTTTAATGTTTCTAGGTTTGTGTCGTGAATACGCTTTATATGATTTAATGACGTATGTTCCATTATGGGGATATTTAGTAAGATATCGATATGCGAGCGGAAAATTAAGCGTTTATTATTATTTGCTATTCGGTATATCTCTTGTTAAGTATATCCCAACAGATTGGATAATTATCAGATGATATTGGTAGATGTTGAATAAGTCTCTCCGCTTCACCTCTAACTTTAGTTTTAAGGAATTGCATCCTTTCCACCTTAGATAATGACGGGTTGCCGTGAATAGTTTCCGTGAATAGATCTTTGAAGGATCTCCACTGATGGTAGCTACCATTAAATGTAGGTATGTCTACGTGAGGGGTCGATTGCTCTCGATACGATACAGACCCCAATTTACGATTGATGGATTTGATAATCTAGTTGTATTTTCTTTCGTATGCGAAAAATGATAACTCATAATCTGGGTTCATACCCCCAAGCTCACTGTCTAACTCCCAATGCATATTATAAATTAAAGACCAACGCGATTGTATAGTACGTAATAAATGATCGAATTCCCACTTTTCTGATATCGAATCTAGGTTGATATTGGATACTGTGTGTTCGAATGCCTTAAAATTACTAGTTTGTTTGCGTAAAATTTCGTCCGTCTTGCTATTAGTCCCCTGGGACTGGGACAGGGTAACCTGCGGCGGCGGTTGCCAAGATGGTCCAGGCGTCCCTAGCGGTGTAGCGGGTTTCAATACTGGAGTTGCCGGCCTGTCATCTCTAACCTGATAGGTAGCGATTGCTGTTCTAATTTTCTCGTATTTATTTCTACACGATTCAAATTGGTTACTCGTAAAATAGGAATGAGACTTCGCATACTCTATTCCACTTAATATACCATGATTAGATTGAAATTCTGCCCAGTATTTGTCCAGAGTTTCTAACCTCCGTTTATATAATCTGCCGTTTTTCGATCGGCACTATCCTTTTTAAAATTGGTAAAGGTCTGCTCTATGGCCCCGAACAATTGCTGTTGATTTGCCAAAATATCCTCCATGTTGCACATATTGATAATAAAAAAGGAAAGATCTTACTTGTTCAGATTGGCTCAGCTGTTTGCAGCTCACCGACTCCCGATGATAGCTCACGTCTCCTGCTGGTTGCTCTCACTTGTGATGCACACTTTTTGTACACACACGCGAGTTTGTCGAAGGACCAAAAATATGTATGGGCTGCGACGGGACCCTCACGTGGTTGTTGATAGTAAATGATAGTCAATACTGGGAAGTTGATAATTGATAGTTTATTGATAGAAACAACTAAATCTAATTTAATGATCGATGGGAAATGACACTGCGAGCACGTGTGACCGGTATTGCTAGGCTCAATTAGCGTACTGACTCAAAATGCATTATTGTAGCGTTATAGCATAAACTGCCGACGCCACAAAAATGTACGTGCTGCAGCCCGTACAACCAAGTTTAGCATTTTGGTAGAATAATTCACGTACTGCCGACAATTTTTTCATTTATTTTTGTTTTGAGAACTGGTATTTTTCTTGCTTCGAGGCACCTTCTACCTTCTAACAATTATAAGGTACTTTTAAGAAGTACGTAAGTTCTAAAATGTAGGTATCTATCTTAACAAATAAATGGTAGTCAAACGCAAGTCTATTCTCAAATAAAATGCAATAAACTTATTAACTTTATAGGTAGTAACATATTAAAATAATATTATTTAATATGGTTCATCAAATCCGTAAAAATAGTTTAAAATACTCACACAATAAAATTTTTAAATGCATGTAAAATATCTGCGACCACCATTTGCACAATTCTGACGTGCACAGACGTTTCACAACTTTTTGCCAGAACCAAAAGTAAGCGGTGGCATGCGACAAAAATCGTACCATAAATAAAATAAAGTCTCTAGCTCGAGAGGAGAGGAGCCGTGGTAGCTTAAATGGTTAACGCTCGCTGAAAATTTCACAGTGCGCGAGCAAACCGGGTTCGATCCCTGCCAACACCAATGAAATTGTAATTGCAATTTTAAGTGTTGATTTACCACGTGCTCAGCGGTGAAGGAAATTATCGTGAGGGAACCTGCATGTCTGAGAAATAAGAAAAAAATATTTCGAAGACATGTGAAGTTCGCCAACACGCATTGGGGCAGCGCGGTGGGCAATTCCTTGCCCTAGGACCCTCTCAGAAATGAGCGTAGGCCTATGCCCAAGAGTGGGACGTATATAGGCTGTAACTTTAACTTTAACTCTAGCTCGAATAGCCTACTAATGAAATTCAAATGATCAGTTTAGGCAAAGTAAGCCTAGATAAGTCAAATGAGGGCATTTTACGGTAGTCACTTAGATATCTTTTACCTAATCACAAGTACAAGTGTGTACCTAATCACAATTCCTACTAAAGTATTTTGATTGGGTACGTACACATTTGTGCACCATAATATCTACAAACCAAAAAATTAAATAAACAAACCTTTACATCTTCAACCATTTCAGTTAAACCAAGACAGGTATACTATCTATGGTTTCTTGACTCAAGTCGTTTACTGCCGTATCATCATTTTTCGTATTTAGCCTGCAACAAATAATAAATTATACCAGATCTTGCACGAAAACAAAACGGAATTACTTGTAATAAATCATTTAGATACATATTTTAGCTATATATTTGAAAAGGTTCATATTATTTATAATATGGTAACCAAAAAAAATATCACATCAAATTTCATAAATTCTGTTTATAATTTCATAACTCTATGGACTCAAAGGTGCGCCCGACTTACCCATTAGTTAAAATAGAGTAATTAGTTTTGTAATTTTTGGTTTTTACAAAAAAAATGTACGTTCAGATAAGGGAGAGCAGGGTTTCCAAAGACAGGTATTACTTGCTTAAATGGAGACCCCAATCAACTATGTAACTAATTTATATTTTGTAAAGAAAAATAGATAATTTTATTTATTTATTTTTATTTATTTAAGCGAATAAGATGATGCGAATGATTGCCAAGTGTCAATCAATGGCGCAGTTCGATGACCACAGATAAATTAAAAACTAATTAAGTGATAATTGTTAGTATTTAACGTGCTTCTAGCCCAAATCTTGTCACCTACCCACAATGGTGTTGGTGAAGCTAACTGTAAGAAAAATATTACCAAAAAAGCGCCGTCTGGTATGTAGCATGTGCAAAATTACTGTCCATTCGGATCCTTCCTGCGCCAAGCTGTCTAATAAACAGATTAACGCTCAACGCAATT